AATTAATTTTTTAATAGATATGCCAATTCAAAAATGGATACGTAATTAGGGACAGGAGTATTGAATTGAATGACTATTTCAAGCAGTCAATCAGAAATTCGTGCTGAAAATGACTATTTTTTTGTGGAGAGAAATTGACAATACAACTTTTGATCAAAATCCACTTTTTCTTAAACGTTTCGTGACCAGTTTCTCAACTTTTTTTAAAAAACAAAAAAAAACAAAAAAATACATTTAAGTTTGAAACACTTTCAAGTCAATTGATTTATCAACTTTGTCTTAATTTCAAATTAGTTTACATTAATAATACGAGTACAAAGAGACTATGTATGTCAAAAATTTTACTTGATAGTAACATATTTTGAAACCAATAAATCGAAAGGATTATTGTAGTCTATATATTTCAAGTTCGAACTCCAAATATTCAAATCCAAATCCTCCTCTGGACGCGTACGGAGGCAGAGGGAAGTTGAAACCTCTTCATTAAAAAATTATATTACTATGTCAATAAGGTAAAATCTTTTCTTTTTTTCTTGTTCTTTTACCCTCTCTATGATTTTTTCCCCCTCTTAGTGATTCAAATCCACGATTTTTACCCTCTATTATCTATATAAGGTAGGGAATCAAATACTGATCACCAACAAAATAAAATTAATTCATATAATCAACCAACTGAGTTACTAAAATTCTTCTCTAAACATTTCTTAAATTCCTTAACTTATTTATGAAATCGCCTCACTCCACCTCCAACATAATAGTTACAAAAACAATTGTAATGTACTAGTGTAGCATAACAAATTGTAAACGGTTTTTCTGCCCCCTTTTCTAAATTAACAAGAAATAATACATAAATATACACTTCTAACTTAATTTAAGATGGCATCGATATCCTTCCATCATGAGTATGCACAAGTAGACAATAAAATTTGTATAAATAGAACATATAGACACATTTATCCTATGTGACATCCTACACAACAATTTGTGTATTATATCACGGAGAACATGTGTGTTTACTTGTTAAATTTTATACAAGTTTAAATGTTCAATTGTGTAGATCCGAAGTTGGAGGACAAAAACACAACTAAAGCCAAATTAAATGACATATTTATGTATTATGTATTATGTTAATTAACAATACCATCAATTCAAATCTAGATTAGATTAGAAATGTTCATTAGAATTGTCTTTAGTAAAAATAAAAAATATTTTTTTTAAAACTTTTTCTCCTAGGGTTAGGTAATTTGCACATGGAATCTAGGTTAACTAAAAAGTGAAACCATAATTATAACTACGTCTGAAAATTGAGAAATAATTAATGCATCCCAACAACTTTGGTGTGTAGTGGATAAACCATGTGGGATTGAGATTGAAATTGATATGATTCCACCAAGTTGCTTCAACAAACTTTTACTGCTACTACTATATTCAAACAAGGAATAAATGAATGGAGAAGAGATATTTAATACATAGTTTCCCTTCTTCAACTATGAGTGTGACATTTCACAAAAAATCCATACAAAAAGAAGACGACAATAATACATAGTTGGCCACTAGTGATACGATCCAAGATAAATAATATAGCGCAACATTAAAGAACGATAACTCAAAGCAAAGTAAACACATAAGTCTTGAACAACAATCGAACAAACTTGATTGCCTTCAAAGAACAACAAACTAAATTCCGTAGTTAATTTCATGTTTTCTAATAATAGCGGTTATTCCTTGGACATTTTCACTCTTAAAATGAGTCAATGGTCCATTGAACATCTCGAATCCTCTGGAATACGTTCTATTAGGGGTGTGCTCACAGGTCGATTTGGGCCAGTTTTTGGTCAAAACCAAAACAACTTAATCAGTTTTAAAGCTATATTAAAATCAAACCAAATCAAATATAATGTATTTATCGGTTTGATTGTTAACGGTTCCGGTTCGATTTGGTTCAGTTATTCGGCATTAACCATACACAAAAATAAAATAAATAATTCATTCTAAACGTGAAAAAGTGACAACAATTCACTAAAAATGAAAAATAGTTAGAATGACTGACATTACAAAACTTTTGATCATTGAATTTACCATGAATAAAACTTCAAAATTCACTATTATGCCCTAGAAGGAAGAAACAGTGACTTTCATTCTTACCTTGGACATTTTTACTTTCATAAGTAAATTATAAATACATTTTGATTGAAACATATATAAGTTCTTTGAAACTGTTTATAAAAACAAAATATTATGTATGTATAATATTAAAATATATGTATATAATTTGTTGGTTCGATTCGATTATTTCATCGGTTTTTGCGAACAAAATCATAACCAAATCAAATACTATCGATTTTTTAAAATTTAAAACCAAACCCAATCCAAATAAAATTGATTTAGTTTGATTTATCGGTTTGAATCGATTTTTATCTAAATCATAAACCCACTACGTTCTATATTATATAGACTATTCAAGATCGTATCAACTAGTATATGAATTATGATGAAATTGATTAAAATATTAGAGCATGGTATAAAATATAATCGTCAAAATTCATAACACAAAACTTGAAGTAAAACGTATTTGATTATTGTATTGCAAAAAGTATGGTGATAATTTATTTTTCTTTTTTTAGAACCCACCCAGGATACATAATCCGTCTCTGCCCTTAGGGTGAGCACTCTAAGGTGCGCACTAGGTAAATCCTCCACTGTGTAATAGCCTGCAAACCACACAGGGGATGTAAACCGCACTAGGCAAGCCCTATGCAACATACTCGACTCAGAAGGCATTGAGGGGGGATCGATCCCGAGTCATATTCCAGAAGGACGATAATTTCTCTTTTTATCTAATTTTTGAAGTGTCATGCTCATATTAATGGTGGAAACGACTTGATCTTCCTCTCTACAATTAGCTAGTGGGGTACGCGTTTGGCTGCTCACAATTCAAAATAACACCCCACTTAATTAAACGGATCGGACCATATAATTCAATGAGCCATCCGTATGCATTATTGTCATACGGAGAACTAGAAGTAGGGATAATTGCGGACCTAAATCATTCGTCCATCTAGTTTGTATAACGTATTTTGTATTTACGTTATTCTTATTTATCGTTCTTTATTTCCGACATTCAATTACTATTTCCTTCTATTTGTTATTTGGAAATTGTATTTTAGTAAGTCTAGGCGAACATAAGATTTGAAGTCTATGTATTTTAAATTTTAACTCATTTTGCTTACTTAATTTAGAATATTTTTTTTATACCTATTTAATAAATTTTCTAACGCAAATATAAGATTTGGATCAAATTAAGCAATTAGATTCTCCCCACTCATCGTAAAATAAACATGTTTTGTAATCTTCTCGTGTTAAAAGTTCTTCCGTTTCATTTTATTTAGCCCTTATTTCTAAAATAATTTTTTTCTTTTTATTTATCTATGTTAACAAATCAAAATATATATATTTAAAAAAATCTCAATACTACCTTTATTATTAAATGACCATTTAATGTACTACAAGTAAAATAAATCTCTTAATAAATTGAATATTTTCTTTAAGAGTAAGAATTTCACGTGGAGTGAATACGGTGCAAGTAAAATGAATCGAAGAGAGTATGACTTTAGTTGTATGGTTGACAACTCATCATTTAATATTCTGTTACGTACACTACTATATATATTCAGACGATTTCAACTCAAAATTGTTATATGAAAAAACATTGTATTTATATTAGTGAAAATTGAATGATAAATGGATTTGTATGCTAAATTAGCAAAGTAGTTAGGCAGGTGATTTAATTGCTACTTCAACAATAATAACGACAGCTATCTACTCTTTAATGTCTAAAAGCACTTGTCCGATCCACAGCTGGTTAAGAGTTGCTAAAATAACGTTTTCTCTATTTTTGGTTGCGTTTGTTCACGGGATTTAATTAATTTGGCAGTAAGAAAAACACAAAATTGGTGATTTTTATACCACACTAAAAGTATGACATTGGAAACACAAGATTTCATGAAAGAATTATTTCATTTTTTCAATTTATTTTGTGAGTGCGAGAATCGAATTGAATTACTTGAATTTTTACGGTGACAAAAAAGATTCCTTTTTTTTTTATATTAGTTGATCGTTGTTAACCTGATATACCTCTTAAGAAGGATCCCTTCTTATGTGTGTATGTTTGTTATGATCTCCTTGGCATATGTAATGTCTTTAGAGAGCTATATATATATAAGGGATTCAAACTCCCTTCAATAGAAAATTACGTTGTTTATACATGATTAAAGTAAGAGATATTGTTTCATGTGAGAAGTTTATCAAAATGAATTATACTTTACCCATTTGTGGGCCAAACTACCTTTTAAATTTTTGTAATGTTTTTGTGAGCTTTGGAGTAAACTAATGGAAGTTAAATTTGTTTATCACAATTCACATACAAATAAGCGAAATGTCCATTTTCATGTGTTTTTAGAGAGAATCCCTTTTAAAATGTAATGTCCAAAAAATATCTGTTTTGGGATCGAACTCAAATGCATGTTGAATCCCAATTCGACTTTTTGGTGCACCTATTTTTTCATATTTTAATTCCCTTGATAAAAATTTGACTCAGCCATGCATTATCCGACCCCTATCTCACTTGACTGGTGAACACTTATCGTAACCTTCAATTTACGCAATATTTTTTATTTTATTTTTATATTTACGCAATATAGTCTACGCGTAAAGTCATATATATTTTTCATGACATATATATGTTTTTCAATTATCCACAATATGTATAGAGATGAAAAAAGTTATAAATCAACGACTTTTTTACGTTATAAGCGCACTTCAAGTTAATCTCTAATAACAAAAACAATCATATTATTATCAATTAACCACTTAGAACTCTTGTAAAACATGTTAATCAAATTGTTTACATAATTCCAGATTTGGTTAATGGATATGATATGCGTTTACTAGAAACAAATATTCTAAAAGTAAGATAATTCATAAAACTGCTCAAGATAGAAAATTAGTACTAATGAAATATTGACACTAATTAAAGATTCCTCTACAACCATGACATTACAATGCAACAAATCCACTGGCCTAGCCAAGACAAAAAACATTAGCTAACCAGTTTGGATTTTTAACCTAAAATATGAAAAAACTACAAAGGAACTTGCCCTGCAATTGCCAAAAACTCCATTGCAGTGACTCAATGTTCAATGGACCTAGAGACCTAGAACCACCATTAACAATTATAAACAAAGCAAAAATACAAAAAAATAATACATAAGACCTCTTAAACCTGGACTTAATTGCTAATTACTACTAATTTTTTCTTAATTTTTTTTTCTAATTTTATAGAGAGGCCCAATCAATTTCATGAGATGGATACTTTTGCAACAAGAAATTTTCTGACATGTCCCAAGTTGGCTCTTCCTCAGTGAACTCCGGGAATATCAGTTCCGTTACCGGCGATGATCCACCGGACCCGGAACCCGACCCGTCACTTTCGGATCCAACTTCTATCGTTTTGCTCTCGTCTTCCTCCATCTTCACCACCGCCGCTTTCTCCGCCGACGACCCTTTGGTTTTCTTCTTCTTAGAGTCAATGCTCTTCCCCTGTGCCAAGCTCTGGCATATGTCCTTTAGCTTAGCATCAACAGAGGAATGCAATGGATTGTATTCACCAAAGTCGCCGCCGATTAGGTTGCCGTTGTGGCGGAGTTGGGGGAAGTTCAGTCGAGCAAAGTCACCACGAAGCATATACGCCGCCTTGTCGTAAGCCAAAGCAGCTTCTTCAGCGGTGTCGAAAGTACCCAGCCAAAGCCGGGTTCGGTTCTTAGGCAAACGGATCTCAGCGACCCACTTTCCCCAGTGGCGTTGTCTAACACCTCTGTAGAGCTTATTGGGTTTTGGTGGCGACCCAGATTGCTTCATTGGAACCGGCTTTGGTGCCAAGAAATTCATGGTGGAAGCATGATGGGCAGTCTGTAACATCATCTGCTGCTGTTGTTGTTGGTTTTGGAAGTTGATTTGAGCTTGAATTTGCTGGATCTGGATTGGGGTCAACTGATTCAACCCAATTGAACCCTGTTGCTCCATTCCATACCCAGAAAACCGAGTTGAAAAGATTTGGGAATTCATCTCTGTGGAAGTGGAACAAACCTCAGAGCTCATAGTAGATTGAGAAGATGGGTAAAAAGAAGTGGTGTAGGGATATGAGATGGTAGGAGTTGGAGGAGGAAATGAAGGATAAGATTGGAAATCTGAAGAAGGAAAAGATGAAGAAGAAGAAGAAGAAGGGAAAACAGGAGGAAAAGTAGAAGGGGGAGGAGAAGGAGAAGAAGAAGCACTTTTCATAAAAGGTTCAAGAGCTTCCATTAATTCACCACCAGAAGTAATAGGTTCTGATGATGATTGAAAATCTACAGATGTACTATTCCAAAAATCCATAGCTGCCATATCTAAACAAGAAAAAAGTTATAAAGACAAATTAAAACAACCTGTTTCTTATCAAATAAAAAGATCACAGGTGAGTGATTTCACTATAAACAGAAAAAAAAAGAGGTCTTCAAATAACAACCTCTAATTTTCTCCTTTAAACAAATCAAACTATGAGGGACAACTAATAAGCCCTCTAATCTGATTTTCCAGAAAAACAAAAAAAAAAAAAAAACTATACTGAGTTACTATTACTTTACTAGATCTCGATTCTGAAAACACCTGAGTTTGAAAAAAAAACTTTTTCCTCTAATTAAAAGTTTGCATTTTCTCCATTTTTAAGTTCAGAACATCAAAAACATGAAAAACACAAACTCAAAAGTCAGAAAAACTTCTTGAAAAAACACAGATAATTTACAGAAAGGGATCAAAGAAGCGGGATGATTACAGAAAGGGGGAAGTAGAAAAAAAATTAAGAAAACCAAAGAAATTTTTGAAAAGATTTTTTGTTTTTTTTAAGTGTGTGGTGTGTGCAGGTGTGAGAAAAATATTGATGAGTATATCTCTCTCAGCCTCACTCTCTGTTTCTCTTTTTTTGTTGTGGTGTTTAATCTTTTATCAATTGCCCCTTTTTATACTACTTTCGCCCATAGTTTTTACCTTGTTAATCCTCCTCGTTAATTGTGTTACTGTTGTTAATTTGATTCTCTAATTCCACTTGTCTTTAATTAAACAAGTCTTTGTTTTACGTTACATTTTTCTCAAGCTGGAGCCAGTTGGTGAGTTCCACGTAGGATTTTGTTTACCGGCAACTTGCGCGTCCTGTTACTTCACATCTGCCAGTTAACATGTTTTGTGCGTTTGTTGACTCGATCAAGTGTTCACACTTGAGTATTTATTTTTTATTTGTTTTTTAAAAATACTCAAAACTGTTCAATTTCTTTTGAATTCAAATTTTGAGTTTTTGATTTACAGTTAACATAAATTTATTGTTTAACAAAAAAAGACTTGTTGATTATTGCAAAAGTAATTAGCAAAATCTAATTTACATTCTACTTTATCCAAAGAACTTTTGAAATTTGGGAAAATAAATTATATTATAATTATAATAATACTAAGACAAGGCATGGCCATTATAACATTTCCACACGTATGACCATTGTTAAAGCTTATACATTGTTTATTATTTTTTGTGAAACTATCAAAAAGTAATGAAATATTTATGACGTATAAGTATGATGATATAATTATTATTGATATGGATCAACAACTGATTTAAATAATAATGTTATTTTATTTTTTTAATTTGATCGAAAAATGCAAATTCAATTTGAAGAAATATCATTTGAAATAACGTGATATTTTTCTATACTTGCTAAAAAATCTAAGCTTTATGCGTTATCAATTACTTAATTTATTTGTTTTTTAATATTGTTTGATTAAGTTTTACTTTTATAATAATAAATTCATATATCGTAAGTGGAAACGAAAAATAACCCGCTATAAGCGAAAAAGAATAAAGGTAGTTAAACTAACTTAATGATATAAAAATTATTCACATTGTCAATTTGACTAAATCCAATAAAAGCCTCTTCTTTTTTTCCTTCCTAATTCTTTTAGTGGATTATTCTATTTATGAAAAAAAAATATGCAAATATACAAATTTTTAATTAATGATTTTTCACATCTTATATGGGATTAAATCTGATATATTTCTCTGCTCAGAGCCTAATTTTATGGATTTTGGTATTTACTGTTTGAATATTGATTAAATTTCTTCAAGATTTTGTCAAGATACCTAACGAGAACGATGTATAGGTTCAGTGAAAAATATGTATGAATTTGTGAAAATACATTTAGCTATAGATATTATAAGTTTGTAGATAAATTTTATTTAGATATTTAAATTAAGATTTGTTTCACTTTTGATTGAACACTTAAACACGTGATAAATCATTCATATTCGATATTTTCAGTTTAAATTTTGAATATAGTGTGTGTTCTTAAATGTCCATTATATAGATAAGTTAAACACTTAAAATATGTCTTGTCCTTAAATTATATATGTGTGTGTGTGTCGATAAGTTGTAAAATATCAGACTTTTTCGATTGAGAATAATATATATACTTAGAAGAGATGACATATTTTATAGAGTTAATTTAATTATTTATTAGACATTTGATAACACACCTATTTTGTTTTTTTTTAAATCAAACTGAAATATATAATAGGAACAATTTATTATAAATTTAACTATTCAATCGAAACAAATTATAATTAAACAAAATTCTTTGCAAATTTAAGTTTTTTTTCCATGTATTAATCCTTTTTTATAAAAGAGTTGTGGCCTCGAAGAAATGAGTACTCAATTTTTTATTTGATAAAGTCAGAACTTGTTGGTTCTTTTTTTTTTTTCTTACATTTTTTATTTAAATTATATAGACAGATACAATGTTTCAACTTTGAAAATGTATGATGTGAGTACTGTTACTTTACTACTAAAATAAATGGAATTCAAATAATTTTGTCATATTCTAACTGCACAAAATAATGAGGTAGTCACATGATAATGTTGTATGGACTATATGGAGTAATTGAGGGAGTTGTAAGAAATATAAATTCTCCAACTATAACTACTTATTACTCCGTTCACATTAAAAATAAATGACGTATTAGAAAATAATTTAAAAAATAAGTATTTAATGTTGAGGGTAAAATATGAAAAAAAACAACAAAAAAATTATATGTCAAAAGTGATAAATAAAAATGAAAATCTATTTTACGAATAACTGAGAAGTAAAAGTGAACTGAGGGACTATATTTTAATTATATTGTTTGTCTTTTCTCTTAGACTTTATGCATCAGTGACGTGATTAGGTTAGTAAATTAGAATATCCTGCAACACAAAAATTATATAACAATATGCAAATGAGGTTTGATGGGAGGCTCTTATCATTAAGATCAACATGAAATATGAGATTATTTATTAATGAAATGAATCAATGATTATGGATAAAATCTATTTATCTATCTATGTAAGTGACTTAATTATATTAATTTTAGTTAGTTAGTCATTGGCTGAGATTGTTAATCAATATTTTTCCAGTGTTGTGGTAATGTGATAAAGACATCACCTCTAGGTAGCGGTATAGGTCGGTTTGGTTTGGTTTTTCATTAAAAAAAACTTAAATCAATTATGTCGGTTTATTAAATCTAAAAATCAAATCAAATCACATAAAGTCAGTTTTTTTCGGTTTGGTTTTAATCGGTTCTTTCGGGTTTTTCGGTTTTTTTTGGTTTTTTATAATTATATGGTATTTGAAAAAGAGATCAAATATATTTTCACTTACCTGTGTAATAAGCTAAACTTAAAAAATGTTAAATGAATATAAATTTTCAAAAAGACGGTAAAATTCACATGAGTACAAAATACTTTTTTTGAAATATCAATATTCATTATGTTAAATTAATAAGATTAAAGGCTAGAGGCAAACTGAATACAAAACAAAAAATTTACAAAGTAAATTGTTAACTTTGATTTTGAAAAACTATAACATTATAATTGTAACTTTGGATCTTAAAACAAAATAAAATATCTGAACGGTTGGTACTCACAACTGTTGTAACGAAGGAATGAATCTATTAAGTAGGAAAGAACCCTCGTAAGGCCTCTCTCATCCCTTGCTTATGCTGAATCGAAATTTTATTGGTCTTCTTTGACGCACGGTAGTAGCCAGTTCAAGGAAGTGAAACTAAGACAGGAAACTCCCTCTTTTTATTTACAAATTTTACAAGCCAAAATTTGAAATAAAATATATAAACATTGAAAACTATAAACTAATTAAAAATATATTAACAAAGTAGATTATCAATAATATTTTTTATCTATAAATAAAATAAAATTATATATATTACAAAATTTTACATGTCCAAATTTGAAATAAAATATATAAACATTGAAAACTATAAACTAACTAAAAATATATCAAGAAAGTAGATTATAAATAATATTTTTTATCTATAAATAAAATAATATATATATATATATATATATATATATATATATATATATATATATATTATGTCGGTTTGGTTTGAGTTCGATTTGACTTTTTTTCTTTTAATACCAAGCCAAACTAAGAGTGATCGATTTTTTTTCAACCGCCAAACCAACCAAACCAAACCACAAATAGTTTTTTTTTTCGATTTGATTTGGTTCATCGATTCGGTTTGATTTTACTATTTGACTTGTACACCCCTACCTCTAGGTATCCTCTAGATGAATCATGACATTTCTGTAGCATTTTTCAAATTATACTTTTCTTAATATCCTGTTTATACGAATTTAGTTAATTGATGGCCATTATTTGTGCTTAACTTAATTAAGTGTCGATTGTTGATTATTAAATAATTAACAGTTCGCTTACTTTTTAAATCATTGACTATTTAATATTTGGTACAACATTGATATGAGATCAGAGTTCATCTCTTTCATTTCTAAATGTTGAAGAAAAAGGAATTGATTTCTAGACGGTCACTTAACTATCAATTTTTATCTTGAAAAAGTGACTAAACTTTATTCTATATTACAAAAGTCACTCAATTTTATTTTATAACAAAAAATCATCTAACTATTGTCATTTCACTTGTAAAGTCATTCAATTATGTCATTTTACCTACAGAGTCATTCGAGCGATATTTTTTTTTAAAAAAAATTCAATAAAACTAAATAGCAATTTATTTTAATTAATCATTAAATTGACCTCCTTTTTATTTTATCGAAAGAAAGACAGGTTGGAATACATGATGTTTAGGGTTGGCTTCTTTGTGAATACTTAAATTGCAATATCGTGAGAAGCATAATCCCAGTTACTAATAAATTAAAAGTTGCTGACTTTAATTTTCCCTTTAATATTATTAAAGTCAAAACGTATGAGAACCTACACGAGATATAACAAAACTATACAGGCTGTTTTAAAATGCTAAAAAGAATTATCTGAAAATATAAATAAAGGATTGAACCCATAATCATAATTAAAAACTGTTGGATCAAATTTGAAATTCTGTGACCACCTTAGGTGACTAATACTATTCACTTCTTTGCTCCTATTTAATCTAATAAAAAAAAATGAAAGTAATAATTCATTAGATTCAAAGGATAAAAAATTTATCAAACCTACAACAGAGGACGATAAATGATAAGAGGGAGTTGTTCGGATAGTAAGCACCCTTCACTTTTAGCCTCGAAAGTGAGTTCGAGTCACCAAAAGGGTACAAAAAAAGATCTCCTAGAGAGGATTAAAAAAGGAATGATATAACAATGAAGTATCAAATTGTATTACAATAAAGAGTGAAACTTTATATATTAGTGATAAAAATTCATTATTAACTAGTAAGCTGAAAGCCAAAAGAATTAGAGGGGTTGTTCAATGTTCATATTAGTATCCTCTACGTAATTCTTAAGTTATGGATTTGAATTATTTTTAAAAAATAAATTAAAATGCATATGAAGAAAAAAAAAAAAACTAGTAAACTGAAGATTTTAGTCATGTGATGGATATGTGTAAAAACTGTTAAATTCACCTGAATAGATATA